ATAAAATCAATAATGAAAATCACTCACAAGATTTTTAAAAATATTAGTTGTGTTACATTGATGTTTCATTTTTATACACAAAAAGGAAATTACGGTTTGTTGTAAATGTAAAGTTTTAAGGTTATAATCAATGATTAATCAATAAATATTTTTGATTGAAAAAAAAAAAAATAAATAAATAAATATATGTATGTACATATCGAGGGACTATAGGCATTCAATCTTTGATGTTTATGAAAATGAGATTTTTTTGTTAAAATATTTGAAAAAAATCTGTGATATAATTTTATAAAAAAAATGTTTTTGGCAATTTCGTGGGAAAAATTTTAAAAATAAATTATATGAGGGCTACAGATGTGATTCTAAAATAATATTGTAGAACAACAAATTTACCAACTGTTCCCATTAAAACTTGTGATGTATAAGTTAGAGACTTCTGAATATAGTCATTCGATATGTGTATTTAATATTACATAATTTATTTTAATAGATGGGTTCTGGAATGCTCGTGAGTCCTATTTCCGCTAAAGACTTTGGTCCGGACGCTGTTTCACCGGTCTTATGGTCATCGTTTGCTGCTCGGTAAATAATTTTGTTTATTATATGTAAAAAATGTTAACAAAATTATATAATATGATTTTAATAAACCTTGAAAAATTTTATTAAAAGAATTTTGCGATAAGTTTTTTTTTAAGTTTTTAAAAATTTCTCAACTTTCGTAATATGTATAACACCGGGCAACAGTCATTTTCACATATGAAAAAAACTATGTGTACAGGAAACTGTGGACCATTTGTATTAACTCTGTGTACTCAGTTTCTCATAATCAGCACTTACGCCCCTGTAAAAGGACCTTAAAGTTTAAAGGACATACGATTTCAAAAGAAATTCCAAATTTATATAAAAAATTTGGTATAATTATTAATATCAAATGAGAATCTCTGCTACAAAATAATATTATTTATTTCAATTCATCAAGTTTAAAAAAGAAATGGAAACTGAAAGAAAATTTGTCAGAAAAACATTTTTAAAAATTTTGATTTCGAAAATGAGACCTTTTTTTAATTTTAATATCTTTTTAGATTTTTTGTTCAAGTGAGTCAAGTAAATAATATAGATAGAATGTACAGATTCCAAGCTTTCATTTGATACCAATATTAGCATATTACAACATATAAAAATATTTAAAATATTTGTTTGAAATTGTAAGTCCTTGGTGCTTTGAAGTCCTTTTATAAGGACATAAGAGCTGATTATCAAAAACGGAGTATGCAGAATTGCTAAAAATGGACTCTAGTTTTACATGCATATCAACTTTTCTATGTGTGAACATTTTTTTCAAATTTGTTACAGGGTGTAATAATTTGGCCTTAAATAAAACAAAAATTATTTTATTAATTATAATATAGATATTATTTTAAAAGTTATAAAATTTATTAGAACACTTTGTCAAATTTTTAAATATCTATAAAAATCTTCATTTTCATGTTTGCCAAATTTCAATCTACTTAGTTCAAAATTCTGTTACAAACTGAATTTTGAACTAAGTTCAAAATTCTTTAGAAAGCATGTTAAATAAAGAAAAATTAATAACATTAACCTTCCAAAGTCGCTCCAAAAACTATGACACCATACCCTTGTCGGTGTCACATATCACGACAATCCCGCATTGTTTATCTAATTATATTAATACATCGAATCATGAATCTATAATACGGACGTTTCTCCTTTACAATGAAAAAAATAATAACTAAAATTTGTCTCACAGAATAACGCAAGATTATGGGAAGATTAATTTAATCATTTTATATTTTCTTTGATATTAATATCATGATCGCTTTTACATCCCTTTTTCCAAAAATCATTAAGATAAAAAATATATATGTCTTAAAAATATAAAATTGTAGCTTAATTGTAATAAAATAAATACAAAATATTCACCAACATATATAACTATAACTATAGCAAAATATTCATAAAAAAAATAATAAGAATATGTACGAATGTATACACGGGCATGGCCGACCATATAATGCCCTACACAAGTGAGTATGTTAAAAATGTGGATTCTTTTTTTATTAATAAAGCATTTGGTTTGTTTTTACCTTAATTCGGAAATATTTTTAAAATTTTTTGACAAAAAAAATATTTTCTATAAAAGAGTTTATATAGCGGGTAAGGGTAAATATGGCCCTATCCTTATAAATTTTGGTAGAGGAATTTACGTGCAGCAACTAATTATTTTAGTGTGTTACAAACATCAGAACAAATACATAAGAAATTCCTCTATATAGTGGTGTAGGGTGTAAAAATAGTAAAATCCAGCATACAAATACATAAATTATTATAAACAATGATGTATGAATACATACATATAATGTAAAGTATGTATGTATGTAAATAAATCCGCATGGTACTCTCTCAGTCACATTTTTTTTAAACCAGTGTCAATGTCAAAATAGGATAAAAAACCATTTCCTAACGAAAGAAAAATGAGTCGAAAAATTGACGACTGAAGGAAAATATTGAACAAATCTAGTGTAACAATGAATGAATGAATGAAAAATATACGCCCACAATATAACAACGTGCTTTTTTCTATTTGTTTTATACTACGCATAATTGTAACGTTTGTTAGTTTAAGAGAAGGGAAGAGGAGATTTTTAAAAATTATAGAGGGTGGTTGTAAAGGATGAAAGAGAGAGAGCATGAATAAGGAATAAAATACTTCATATTAAAGAAACCATAAAAAACTTTTATAGATAAAAGTATAAGCAAAAATAAGTAGGAAATGGTTTATGAAGAAAGGACCAAAAAAAAAAAAAAAATAAAAATCTTAAAAGGATGCTAAAGAGGTCACAACTATTTATCTGATGTTTTTTTTAACCCTTACTATTAAAGAAGGATGCTGACGCAATATTTGATGTAAAAAAAAACATTGAAATTAACAAAATGAACATTTATTATGAAACATGTTTGGAAATTATAATAAAATATCTTAAATAAGATAAAATAAATAACCAACATCCAAGTTTAGTTTAATTAATTTAAAAACGAAAACTTGTTAATATTTTTTTTGTTGGTGTTAGTTTGTTAAATAAATATGTATTAATATAATATAAAATTGTTTATAAATGATATAAACGATTATTAGCACTTGTTTAGGGGAATTTAGAAATCTTTAAAATTCTTTGGTTAATAGCAAGAATGTTTTATTGATAACCAGATGACTTATTGTTGTAGTAGTGAAAGAAATTCATTCTATCACGAACGTGTCGAACTAGTTTCTCTAGTCTAGTCTCTGTAAGATACAAAATATTTGAAAAATCTTGAAAATTTTTTATTTGTTAAAAATTATATAAAAAGTGTTCCCAATTCAGATTCCAAAAAAAATGTAGTTTCTCAGTGTTAGCCGTCGAACGGTTACATCAGAGAAAATAAATCTGATAAACCTTTTGTAATCCAAACAAACGAAGATCTCTCTTTCTGTGGAATGAAACAATGGCAAATTTGTACTCTATACTGAAGCATACATACATATTTCGTAAAACCGAAAACAGTTACCAATAAGAAACTTGGAATAAATCTTACGTTTTTGCTAATACAGTTTTATGAAATGAAATTTGATTATTTTTTAATTACGAATTAAAATTAAAAGTTAGGCAGGGAAATCGTTTCAAATTTCCCTTAAAGAAGCTTCGAAGCTGTTATTTCTGAGTATTGTGTTTTTATGTAGTTTTAAGTAATTATATTTTATGTAATTTTGTTTTTATAATAATATAATTTATTTGTTTTTGTATTATTAATAAATATAACTGTGGTATTTTTTTTTTTGCAAATTACAATTATTATTGTTTTGAGTTCATTTTATTTTTAAATTTCAAAAAATAAAAGGACAAAAAAATCATTTTCTTTCAAATGTTAATAATACAATTTTTGTTTTTTAATAGTAGTTAATTAATATACGAGTATGTATATAGAGGCTTAATAGTTAAGGATAATCCTTGCCGAAACTCTGTTTAATATCTTTCCTTGGTTTTAAATATTTTTTTTTTTTTTCATTTTTTTGTTAATTATGTTTTTTTCATTGTTTTGTTTTATTTTATAAATATTATTGTTTTTGTTTTACTTGTTTAAATAGGTAGGTAAGTATGTATGTAAGTAAGTATATATAATATATATATTTATAATTAGTAGGGGGTGTATAATATAATTAATATATTCCAACATGAGACAGCATTTTTTTGTTATTTTAATTTTTATAGATAAATCGGTTGTTATTAATTTCTTTAATTATTGTTAATTGTTGTTGTTACAAAATAATGGTTAATTGTAATTTCTATAACCATTATATGGATGTCTTTTTTAATTGTTTTTTTTTTTACTAGCTTTTTTCCCATTTATTTTAGGATCCCTTTTCCATTAACTATATATTGAATTCATACCGTGGTATTTTTTTATTTAACAAAAAACTCATTTAAAGAGTTTTTTTTATTTCAGTTAATTTTTTATTTGTTATAATCATAATAATAAATATAGTTTAATAAATATACATGTATATAATTTAGTTTCTTATTATTTTTTCTTTTGTATTAATTTATTTTTAGCCTTATTAATTATAATATAAGTATATTGTATAATTTAAATATAATAATAAATAACAAAATTAAACAACACACATTTATAATAAAGTTAGAGGGAGGAGAGTATAGAATTTCTTTTACGTTTTATGTTTTAATTTGTTATTAAAAAAATAATTATCTATATTTTACTTTTTAAACAAGCAGTTCTAAAATATTTATTTATATATCTAGCAGTTTATTTTGTATCTATCTAATAAATAAATTTTGATTTTAGATACTAATAAAAATAAAATGTTTGATAAATAAAAGAAAAATTTGATGACATGTTTATGGCAATTAAAGGCAAAACGATTGCTAAAATAAAAAGATAAGAAAAAAAAAAAAAAAATAAATAATATTACAAAATTAAAGAAACACAAATCAAGAGTTATTTAATTATAAAACAAACATAAAAATTATATACATTTTAATAAGGAAAATTCATAATAATACTGGTTTACTGGCAAAATTTTTGGAGATAATTTATATTTAAAAAAACTTATTAAAAAACAGTTTATAACCTTTTTTTTGGCAAAATAGTACTGAAAAGTCCAGACATTGAATGAAATTGACGTAATGTAGGTACAAGTTTACGTCTCAGATTGAAAAAATCCCTAGCATTTTAATATCTTAAAACTGTACAATTGTACTAAATTAAACACTTCAATTAAAGCCAATTATATGCTTTAGTTCCTGCTACCGAATTATAAACACATATTTTTAAAATTTGTATTTTTCTCATGTGAATGTCGATAGAAGAAGTTTAAATAATAAATTTGTACAGTAAATCAGTCTCTAATATATTTATAATATTTCTCTAAAAATAAAACAAAATATTTTGTGGCCAAGTTAAAATAATATAAAAATGATTCATAATTTTATTAGAGGTGTTTTGCCCCAGCATTATATGTGATAAATAATATTTTTTAAAATACTGTTTCAGCAAGTACTTGCTGATAAAAACTTTAAAAAACTTTAAATTAACTTCAATAAAACCAACAAAAGCTTTATGTAATAATAATCATGATGATAATAATATTAATAACTCTAATTTTAAAAATGTTTATTGTCAAAAGGATCTAAATAACACATTAAATCCCTAGGGTATTATTAAGACATAAAATATTATGTAAAAAATAAATATAAAAAGAAAACTACATAGAACTAAAGAAATTGACCCACTTAGTCTTGTCAATTTGTCACTAACTTTCCGTGTGATGTTAGTTATCCTTAGAGAATATATTTTAATAAATCAATTTGCTGTTGGCAACTTTTCAAATTTATAAGCATGTGTACCTTTTGTGTTTACAGAAACACACCAACAATTTTAAAGGATTTTTATTTGATTTTTTTTTCTTTTTAAAATATTTATAAATTTAGCGTATAAAACTGCTTGTTTTTAAAGTAAAAAATAAATAACGAGCACAAAAATACAGATAATAATTAACATTAAAAAGATTTTCTTTGATTTTTTTATATATAAAGATCAAGGACATTTAAATAGTTATATAATGTAATCATAAATCTTTTAAGTTCTTTCAAAAGTTCTTAAGAAGTGGAAAAAATAATCGTTTTCTTAATGGTTTTATTTGTTTTTCTTTTACATAGGATAAAGTTGTCATACATTTAATTAAGATTTAAATGGAGGGTTAGAGGTATTTTTATAATTGTTATTTCATTGAAGCTGACCTTTAGTTATGTGGCATGTGCTAAAATATATTTTGCAATTGCATATTAACATACAAACTTTGCATTTACAATAAGCATCAAAGATGGAATAAAGAAACAATGTAAAATCTTGTAAATTTACAAGTTTATATCCAAAATTAATAACAACATTTCAGAGAATAAAAGATTCTTTTAATAAAACATACATAATTTTTGTATTGAAAAGTATAAACATATATATATTCACTTTTTTCTATAAATATACTAGACAACTGATCAAACAAGAAACTCTTTGAAAAGCAAATTCTTCAAATACATATATATACCATAACTAAATGTGTGACGCATTTTTGCAGGGATAATAAAATCACACATCAAATGTTTTATTATCAAGGACTTTTACTCTATGGTAATTAGCATCAATGTCAAAGATTTGTCAATATGACAACTTATACGTAGTAAAATCTAGTGTTAAATGTAGACAAAAAAAAAAAAACACCTGTTAATTATAATTATAATAAATAAAAAAAAGAGTAAATATGACAAGGGAGAGTATGTTTAAAAAATACTAGGAAAATTTTATTTGTATTAACAAAAAAGTAATAATACATTTTTGTTTATTATAAATAGAAAATTTCTATAAAAAAATAAAGTAAAAGAATTATATTATTTTATATCAATATATGCATTATTTTGCTTTTTTTAATTTCCTTTGTAATTGAAGCATTATTTTTCATTTGGATAGTTTAAATTTTTATTTTTAATTATTTCCTTTTACTAAATTTTGTTGGTTTAGTTTTCTTTTCCTTTAAAATTTTATTAGTTTTTAATTTTTCATTTAATTTGTGTTTTTTTTTTCTTGTTGGTTTTGTAGATAAATTGTAATTAACATTTAAATTGTAAAATTTAATTTTAATTTATATTAAAATTAGTAAATTAGTTATTGTTTGCCAATTTTGTTTTATGTTTGTTTCATAGACATCGAAAATAAAATTACATACATACGTTTAATAAACTCACTTTTTCTTTCAACGGTTAACTTTTAGCTTAAAAAAATCGTCTACATCTTTCGTGCATCATACTTCTGTCCATCCAACCATCTAACTGTCGATTGAACAATCTGTGTTTAATTTTTTAATCTTTAAAATAATCAGCCTCCTGGTTATTTTTTGTAGTTGTTGCAGCTATGTCGTTTTGAGAGAAGAAAAGTTGACAATTTAATTGCCATTGGGTAGTGGAACCACCACCTGCACATACGATTGTGGGAAATAGCCAGTGCGACCGTTGAGTGAGCCCTCAAACCAATTGTCGTCGACGCGATTCAGCAGAGTGATAATTTCATTTTCTTTAAAGCCCAACTCGCCGGGGTTTTGCGGCTCGAAATCGTACAAAGCCTGGCAATAGGGCTGCATCTGCTGGCGTGACGGTGTAGTGGCCATCGATTTAGCAGGCGAACGCATGGGCGATGGCAGCGGAGACGCACCAGTCACCCTGTGATGGGCTGGTGTGCCCGAGCTCTCCGTGTCATTGCCCATACCATCCAAATTCAAATCGAGTAGGGATTTGGGCACAAACTCCGGCTTGGGACGCGACTCGGCTTCTTCACGCTTCTCAGCTAACGTCTCCTGAAGGCCACGCAGAACATCTGCGCATTGCGAGTGGAATTCGTAGAGAGCCTCGGCGAAAGTGCAGAGTTGCGAAACTTGCTCGGTATCATTCTCGAGCAAGTTGAACATGCCCATTTGGGCAAGATGCAACGATTCCTCGAACTTTTCCTCGGCCCCACGTATTTCATCATCTTTTGCCTTCTGGCGACGTTTGCAATCGAAGTCGAGTCGTCGTCCTTGCAACTTCTTGCGATGGTGCATGACCTCCTTGAGGTCTTTCATTTGCAGATGGTGAAGTGGCTCCAAAAAGTTTTGCTTAATATTGTCATCCAACGAGTACTTAACATCAGCCATTTGACGCAGCGCTTCGCCAAACTCAACTAGCGCTTGCGCAAAAACACTATTGTCTTCACCCAACTTTTTGCCGTAAGTCAACATACAATCAGCCAAAAGACCTTCGGGCTGAGGATACGTATTCGATTTTGCTTGGCCAGACAATTTCGAAATACCCTTGACGGCTGCCATCTTCGCTCTGGCCGTGGGATTTGGCTGAAGAAATTCTTTCGTCTTCACCTGCAACTCCTCCACCAGTTCGACGGTTACATCTGTCTTGCGTTCCATCTCCATGAAATCGACATCCAACCGGGTGCCCTCGGCACCACCCATTTTCTCTGTTACATACTGATTGGCTTTGTTAATTTGTTTCTTTAATCCAGCAAAGGCCATTTTGTCCTCTCAACTCTTTATGACTCTAGATGTTTCTGAAAATTTTGGTAAAAGCCAAACTGGACTTTGTGAACTTTCTCTAATACACAAACCCAAAGAATACAAACACTCACACGAAAATTACAATATAAAAAAATCAATCACCTCCTCCTCTTGAGATTTTTTTTTTTTGAAAATTGACTATTTTTTTGCAATTAATTTTTTCTATAAATTTTTCTTATTGTGCAAATTACGACTGTTTCCTGTTAAGTCTTTTCGGTAAATAATTAAATTTTTTCTTTTGATTTTTCTAACGTTTTCAAATTTTTGCACAACTTTTCAGCTCCTGAACACTTTTTTTCGTTTTATCGTCGTGTATGGCAAATCGATATTTTTCTTCTACTAAAGTCAGTGCCTAGAGACCTGCGTCGACCAAAATTAATAACGGCGGTTGTGACTAATAATATTGAAGGCGGCATTAAATCGCTTGTTATATTTGAAAAAAATAAACTTTATTTTAACGGTAAAATTAAAAGTTACGATTTATTTATTTATTTATTTTTTATCTAGTTACACATTTTAAAAATGTAACGTTAACGGAAATTAGGATTATTTCGTTAACGGTATGTAGGCTTTGGTATTTCAATGCTGAAAAGTGATAACTGCAGCCAACCTTGATTACTACTTATGAAACATTTTATGAAAATTTAAGAAAAGTGGTCATAAATTTTACGCATTTCCAATTGTTATCATACACTTTTGAATTCAATGACGTCATTTTGGGTATTTCGACTAGGTTTCTATATTTGAAATATAACATATTTTTTATATATTATATTTTTAATTTAAAATATTTTTTATATCAACTTTTTAACTTCTTTTTCTATGTTTATGTTAAAAATAAAATGTAAATTAATAAATTGCAAAAAGTTGAAAATTTCGACCACTGTCATTAGCGGATCTTAAATTTTATCGGCGGCTACGTTACTTTGGTCTTTTGACGAATCGGCACAGGCCTCTGGTTACTATAGAGCTTCTTCTTACTATACAATTTTCTACAATCATTTTTTCATTCTTCTTTGTATTCTCTTTAAATTTTTACATTTTCTGCACAAACGCAAACAATACGTTGCCAGATTTTTGACGTTATAAATGTCAAGTTGAAGGCTACTACTGTCTGTGTGGGGGTGTTTTCTTTTTCATCTTTTGGTCCATTTGCTTATACTGTGTATAACTACATAAGAGAATGGGAGTGGGGGATATTATATATAGAATATTTTTATACAAATTAATTAAAATGCTTAAAGTGATATACTTCAATTAAGAAACATATAATAAGCTATAGTATTTTATATAGTTAAATAAATCGACAAAACAATATATATAAACTAATGTGTGGCATCACTTAAGTAATTTTTTTGTGATTTGCGAAAAATCAATAACATTAAATTAGGCGGTAAAAAGTCTATTATGGGTATTTATTTGGTTCTCTTTTTATTTCTAAAAATTAGTTAAGTTATTTTTGAACATATCCTAAATTTTTTTTCTATATTATAACACGAAACGAAGAGTAATAGTTAATAATAATAATAAATACATATTGAAATATTTTTAAATTTAACGGTTTTTTTACATCGTACTGGCATCATTACACTTTATTTTTGGGGTGGTAATATAACGGTTTCACGAATTGCCAGATGAATTTAGATATTTTGTTTATACAATTTCTAAGGTATTAGGGACATTAAAGGGAATTTTAGTTTTATACTTATTATTGTTTTTGTATCAATAATACGGTGTGACAAAATTCCTAAAAGTAAACGTTGGTTGGTCTAGTAGTGTAGTTCATAACACCATATTTAAAATTTTATATATACCCTTAAAATCAGTAGTTTTTCCCAATAAAGGAATTTTGAATTATTTTCGGACTTAAAAATTTTGTATCTTAAATTTCTTTTACATTATGCGTTGTGTTGATGGTTGTAACACCCAAAAATATTAGTCCTACACCTTAAAGTATACCAATCGGCTCAGAATCACTTTCTCAGAATCTGTCTGCATGTCTACGTAAACCTTGTCCATTATTCCATTATTTCGCCTAGTCCCCATACAACCGTACCCCCCGAATAGGGTTTTTGAGCTCATAAATATGTTAAATGTTATTATATCTCTCCTAAAATAGCCAAAACTTAATTTTATGTCCAAATGGTACTACCAATTTTCGTAATGATCGGGATTTATTTGACCCCATACAAAGTCCCCTTCAGAAAATCACTTGAAGGTCGAAATTCACTTATAAACGCTAATATCACGATAAAATTCTACATAAATAACTTTAATGTAGACGTAAACCCCTAAACCAAAATTTATAAGGATAGGCCCACATCAACCCCCTGCCCCCATATAACCCTTCTTTCCGAAGTTGACTTTAACGATAATTACTGGGTTTAAAATATGAAATGTAAATGTAAAATATAGCGATGAAATGTAAAATATGTGTGTGTATAGGGGAACCTTCCGAAATATATTAAGCCAGTAATGACTTAAAAATACGAACCTACCCCCTATATAAAGTTTCTTTCCGAAATTGACTTAAGCGCTCATTACTGGGTTTAAAATATGAGTATAGCAATGGAATGTAAAATATGTATATAGGGGAACCTTCCGAAATACTTTTCATTTTACGGGATATACTTAGTTTTTGCAGGGTTATCAAAGTTTTCTATTATTATCTAAATTCGGCTCTTAAAAACTTCAGCTTATTTTAGGGTTTTGAAATACTTATAAATCTCTTTACAATGGAAAATTAAAGTAATCGCAGATCTTATGCAACCTATGTATAGTTCCCTCCGATAATTGATGAAATTGATGTGACGAGTTTATTAGTAGTTATGGCTAATTTTGCTTTTCATATTTCTAGAGTAGAGAAGTTGTTTTCGTAATTCATTTGCAACTTGCAACGTCATTTAGAAGAAATAACAGCTTCAAGAACATTCTATGGCGTCTTGCGTTACAACTTTAAAGGATATGCAGCTCAACATCTAAAGCTTTATAATCCAATTTTAAATTTATAATTTATTCCACTTTTTTGAATTTCTCACTGGAAATTTACACTAAGGTTAATACTATTAGATAGTAGGTCAGACACAAATTTTCAGCTCCATCGGTCAAGAACTGCCGGACTTAGAGGGGGTCAAAGTTGGACATTTTGGTCATACAGGGTTTTATTCCAATGAGTGTAACTTTTCACCTATTGGTCCTAGTAAAAATTGTCCAAAGGAGTTCAGATAGCTATTTCTTTATTCTTTCCAAAAAAAAAATTTAACGCAAGAATAATTTTTTTTCAATATTTGGCACTTAATTTTCCCCTATTTTTTTTCAAAATGGACTTTTTTGTTGTATTTTTTTGCTCAAAAGAAAGCTTTACTTTGTGGGATGTGAGTGGAATATATACATACATTTATAAAAAATATGTTAACTCCAAAAGCAAAGTTGTTGAGTAAAAATATTATTTTTTCACATATGCCCCTTGCATTCCACTAAGAGATCACAAAGCTCTTGAAGGAAATGTTCTAAGCTTGAGTAAAAAAAATACAACAAAAACGTCCATTATGAAAGAATAGGGGAAAATTCAGGGCAAAATATTGAAAAAAAATTATTCTTGAACCTTCAAAGAGGTTGTATAAGCTTTCTTTTAACCTAAACAAAAAAAGGAAAAAAGCGCCCATTTTGAAAAAAAAAAAATTAACAAAAATTTTAAAAAATTAAAAAAAATTGGAAAGAATGAAGAAATAGCTATCTGAACTCCTTTGGACAATTTTTGCTAGAACCAATAGGTAAAAAGTTACACTGATTTGAATAAAAACCTGTATGAACAAAATGTCCAACTTTGACCCCCTCTGACACCGGCTGTTCTTGACCGATTGGCCTACTATCCCACAGTACTAAACTTGGTGCAAATTTCATCCAAATCGGAAGACATCGATTTTTAGGTAATTATTTAAGGCATTTCTACTTCAAATATTCTTTAACGTCAGATTCATGATATTAGTCATCTGAATAAATATATGCGTAAACTTTACATTAGATCTGTAAATACCTTTAACAGTTTTATAGAAAAACAAGATAAAATATCACAAATTAAGCTAAAAAGGAAACAACATCGTAAAAAATGCATACCAGGGCAAATATTTATATTTTTTATTTACCGGTGCGTAGACACTATTGAACAAAACAAGATAAGATCCATGGAAAAATACAGTACATACTAGATCTGGCAATAACTATAAAAACAATGTATATTAAAACTGTAATTATTAGTTATTTTACGAACATTAAACGACAAATTACAGTAATCGGTTTAAAATTGTTATTGCAAATTAAAAAAAAAAAATGAAATTAACAATATTTCTAGTTATTTGTGCTCTGGGTTTCACTCAGGTAAAGAGTATTTTTTGGTTCAGTATATCAAAATGAAATTTTAATAAAGAATTTTAAAAATAAATTTTCTTGCGAGTTATTAAGGTCTATATTTAGTATCTCGGACAGAAAATTTATTTCACATTTTTATGAAATATGCACAAAAATTTTTAATTTTCAAAAAAAATGTCAGTCCTAGATACTGAATATGGGAGTTAGGAATAATATTATGTACGTATTCTTGAATACGGCCCTAAATCATATTTTCAGTTATTTTTCTGTTGAACTTTAATAATTTTAAACATTTTTATTATTATTTCAGGCTCAACTTAATTTGGGTTTAAATTTAGGTCCAAAAGCTGGTTTTGCTGGTTTATCACCCGGACAATTCTTTCAAAATATTGTATTACAATCTGAAGCTGAGAAGCTTTTAGTTAATCCCGATTTACCCGATGATTTGAGACAACGTGTTTTAGATTCAATGGCCAATGCTGAACAAGGTTTTAATAATTGCTCGACTGCCGTTACATTACCCTGGATGCAAATACGCTGTTCCGCTTTACAATTACAACGTTCAAAAAATGAATTAAAAGCTATTGAAAATGAGGCAACTGCTAGAGCTCAGGCTGCAGCAAATGCAGCTCCTGTAGAGACAGGCACTGCAATAATTTGATAATTTAATATTTTTTTTTCTCCGCACTTTAAAAATACGCAATATACTATATTGAACTTTGAACACGCCAAACTTTAAACGATTTTATTTTTTTAACTTAAGAAATTTTTATTAATAAACATTTTCAAAATTAAAGTGAAGTAGTATTTTTTAGTCGAGAATTCTTACGGATTAGGAAAATACTTCAACAATCATAACCATATTTGGGTCCCAGCAAATAGGGTCTATAAAAAATCTAAAAAGATTTTTTCTTTGAATACTTACATTTTTAATTGTCTGTCTATCTAAATCTAAACTTAATAGGAATTGCACATATTTTTGACAATAACAAATTAAAATTTTTTGGAAAACTCAATTAGATTTTTATTAAAAATTTAAAAATCCCCTAAAGGTTCTTTAAAATATGTTTCTTTAAATATCAACTATTTATTTAAAAATATGTATATGAACTTAAAATGACTGGCATTTGCAGTAATAACATGCGAAATAGTAATTAAAGCAATTTTTTCAAAAAAGGGGTTGTAACACCAATAATAGAACCACAATCAAGGAACTAGAAAACTGTTAACATAATGAGTAAGAAATTTTCAATTCACACTGGACTCTTAATAAATACATTTGATAAAATAATAAAAGAACAAATAACAAGTAAGAGTGTTATATTCGGCTATGCCGAATCTTATATACCCACCATCAAACCTCGTTTGACTCGCATGAAACTTACTTATGTCGAATTTCATCTATATACTCGTATATTTAGGCCAGTTATAAGCGTTAAAGAAATTTTATGAAGGGGACCTTCTATAGGGGGGTAGGGTCAATTATGGGTCGATCCTCATAAATTTTGTAGATAGAATTTGGTTCGTATTAAATTTATTTGTATCGAATTTCATAGCTACACTCGTATTTTTAAACCATTAATGAGCGTTGCAGTCATTTTCTGAAGGGGACCTTATATGGGGGGTCAATCATGGACCGATCCTCATACAATTTTTTAGATAGATTTTGACTCGTATGAAACTAACTTATGTCGAATTTCATCTATATACTAGTATTTTTAAGCCAGTAATGAGTGTTAAAGCCATTTTCTGAAGGGGACCTTATATGGGGGGTACGGTCAATTATGGACCGATCCTCATAAAATCTTGTATAGTGATTTTGGATCATAAGAAACTTACTTATGTCGAATTTCATCGCTATATTCGTATTTTTAAACAAGTTATAGCTCTTAAAGCTGCTTTTCGAGGGGCCACTTGTATGGGGGCTATCCGAAAACGTGGACCGATATTGCCCATTTTCAATACCAAACAAACCTTACCTATAAGAAATATTTATACGAAATTTCAAATCTCCTCTAGCTCTTTCCATTCGTACTCTATCGTGTTTTCAACAGACAGACAGACAGACGGACGGACGACGGACAGACATGGCTAGATCGTCTTAGAATTTAATGAAGACCCAGAATATATATACTTTTGTGGGTCTATGACCAATATTTCGATGTGTTAAAAACGGAATGACAAAATCAATATACCCCACATCTTTTTTGATGGTGGGTATAAAAATGTCGGGCAAGGACGACCATATCATACCCTACACCAATGAGTAAGTCAAAAATGTGGATTATTTTTTAATAACAAAGCATTTAAGTTGTTGTTTACTTTAATTCCGAAATATTTGAAGAATTTTTTGACAAATAAAGTGATTTTATGAAATGGGGTTAAGTTTGTTTGGTTATATGGACAAGGGTAAATATGGGCCTATTGTTATACATTTGTGTACAATGATTTCTGTTTAGTTAGTTTGAAAGGAGGATGCATACACATGCATCAAATCCGAAGAAATACACCTAGGCCTCTATCGTTCATATTGTGCGCTCATTTACGCTTCTCAGGTGAGAATCGAACCCAACACCACCGTTCTACCAGACTAGAACACTAACCATCAACCTAACGGAGGCCATTTAAGTTACATAGGGTGAAATGAGATCGGATCATTACGAAAATCGGCAGTATCTTACATAAAACTAAGTTATTATGTAATTATGAGCTCAAAAGCGCTTTCGGGGGGTACGATCCTGTGATGAGCTAAAACTTATTTTTTCGAATTTTTCAACAATGTTATTAATATTAGTCTTTTCAGATACTACGAAAAGACGAAATTTTTTATGCTACAAACATCACATCGAACCAAAATATCCTCTCCAATATGATGTTGTAGAGTAAACCCAAAAAAAAAAAAAAATTGCAACACACGCGTTAAAGTTTATTTAGGACAACGACAACATTAAAATGTCCATAAAACTATGTACAAATGCATTTGAACTGCAAAAATGTTAGTTAATATAATAAACATAATAACTTAAATGTACTTACATATTCACGCTCATTTCTTTTGAACTGAAAAAATATAACGCACACGTGTAAATTGGAAAAATAAGTAGAAAAGTGCATTTCCACTCCTTTACATATACTTTTTGTTCTTTTGTGTTATTTGTGTGTAGAAATAAGAAAATTTTATAATTATATATTTCTTTTTCTTTCCGTTTCCTTTCGCAAAGTGTCAAGTGTGGTAAAATGGCTTGACGCCTCTGAGCTTTTATTAAAAATAACAGAAAAATAAAATAAATAAATATAAGTTTAAATGTTTAAGGTTAGGTTAGCAACCTTAATTTAAGTTAAATCGTTTTTGAGCTTTAAAAATGTAATGCCAAGATAAAAAATTGAGTATTATGAGTTCCTAGTAAAAACATCATTAGATTGAGTTATAAAAGAACAAACTTTTAAGCAGAGTAAGTAATTTTTGCACTCGTGAATATTATCTTATTTATTTCTCTCGTTATACAGCTCATTTCACGAGAATTATTTTTAAACTCGCGAGAAGTATTTTTATTTCAACTCTTAATTTTTTATGTTTACTTCATGAGCGATATCAATGTATTTTGATTTTTTAATTCATCTCACGAGAGATATCAAAAGGAATAGAATTTGAGCAAAACTCACATACAAAAGATGTGTGCGGCAAAACCGGATTTACGGCGGTGTAAAAAACAAAAAATTGATGAAAAAAAGTGCATGTGTGTGAGGTTGTAAAAAAAGAAAAAAGATGAGCGTGTGTGTGTGCATGCTTGTGCGAAGAAATATGTTTTTGACTTTATATACAATATTATAAAACTCCCGATAAATTCATTTGTACTCGTTTCATAAGAGAAAAGTATTTTCCGCTTATTATTTATTTATTTTTTAAACTCAGGAGAAAAAAATATATATTCACAATAAAGTAAATAATTTATTTCGCTCGAATTAATATCTCTCTAGAGAGAAATCAATTAGAACGTTCTCCTTACTCTGCTTTTAAGCTTTTAAAAATATATCAAGATCTAATCTATGCCGAATCTTATATACATACCCGCCATCAAATCAAATGTCGTAAAAATAAAGTTTATTTCCGGAAGGTGGACTTAGGCTGATGTCAGAGTGGGCGCTACAAGCGATGCGAAGCTTTGCGCTACAAACCTTTCCTTGTGTTTTTCTATGTGTCATGTCAGAGAGAAAGCGAAGCTTGATGCGAGAAAACACAAGCAAAAGCCTTAGATGATGAAATTTTCGGAATAGTTCCTTCAATAAGGGATTGTATCAATTAGGGAACAAGCTCTCCAGAATAAAAGTTATTATTTTTTTGAATTCTATCATAAGCTAAACTTTTAAAATTATTTATTTACTTTAAACCGGTTTTCTGTAACAGTGCTTATTAGGATCAATTTAGTACTGAACGTCAAAATATTTGGTATAGATCTCGGTTAGTATAAAATTTGTTTATGTAAACTTATCGATGCTTGCTTTTTTAAGTGTTCTATGAGCTTTAAACTCTTCTTCGGAAGGACACGACGGACATGGAAAAATCGACACAGAAATTGATTCTGGGACGGTTGGTATACTTTAAGTAGAATGTTGAAGCTATATTTCTAGGCGTTACAAACATCAGTAAAAACGGCTTTTACTGATATTTTTAAGGGGATTATTTTAAAAGAGGTCGAATGGGCCAGTTAAGAATTGACTGTATTTTTAAGCCAGTTATGATTTAAAAGTTGGAGGTGGATTTTATATGACTTTATATGGTATTTGGTGTCAAATATAATCTGATAAATTACGGTTCTGCGTACATAAGACTAACATACATATGTATGACACTTTATTTAGTGTTAGTTGCATAACCAACTGATTTATGACATTTTAAAATATAGCTTCTATGGGGGCTAGGTGAAATTGTGTACCAATATTGCCAATTTTTAATACCACGCAATCATTGAACCAATATTTATAGAAAATTTTAACCTTCTAACTCGACCAGTTTGGAAACTAACTTGATTTTGATAGACGAACGGATGGTTATAGCTAGATCGCCTTAGAATCGAATAAAGACCCTCAATATACATACATATGTCTATCCTTGACTAAATCAACATACTATCCATATTTTATATGAGTATAATACTGAAAGAAATTTACAAGAATTTTTGGGACAACCTAAAAGAACAAGGCTCCAGCAGATTTTCCGCTGTTTTGTCAACAGATTATCATATTTCATACATACAAATAATCCACTTAAACTTTCCTGAATTCATCTATGCTGTCACCTTGAATAGATTCACCCTGATGCACCCACATTTAAAAAAATCAAAAAAGAAAAGTTATAACATGTCATAATAAGTATTGCAATAAAATTACTAAACGTAAAAAAAAATTATCAAAGTTTTCTGTGACTTTTTTAGTTTCTGATATGTACAAAAAAAACTAATGAATTATTCTGTGAACTTATGAAAAATTATAATTGCATTTTTGAAATTGTTCATAAAATATGAAAAGCATTTATTACAATGTATGTATGTAGTATGAATGCATAAGTAGGTTGCTGGAATAAATCCTCTTTTAAACTTCTTTTTTTTTCTCGGCAGTAAGATACTAGTGCATATAATTACAGGGGAAGGATAGAAAATGAATAGTTATGATGTAAAATATCTAGTGACAAAATGTATTCAATATGTATAGTACTAGTAGCCAATGTATTTTCCTTCATAAGATATTTGTAGTTTTTAGACAATTTTTTAGAGAGGTTTCCTAATGAACAGGCAAGCG